CGAGATCCGAGATTCGAGATCCGAGATTCGAGATCCGAGATTCGAGATTCGAGAACCGAAATCCGAGATTTGAGATCCGAGATTCGAGAATCGAGATTCAAGATTCGAGATCCAAAATCCGAGATCCGAGATTTGAGATCCGAGATTCGAGATCCGAAATTCGAGATTCGAGATCCGAGATTCGAGATCCGAGATCCGAAATCTTGGATTCGAGATCCGAGATCCGAGATTCGAGATCCGAGGTTCGAGATCCGAGATTCGAGAATCCGAGCGTTCCCAACATCCATTGTCAAGTTCGTCATTATCATCGATGACCTGAGATGAAAATCACAGAACCGTGAGCCTGGCGACGTTTTGACTTTGGTGCGCGCAATCACCGTCAACTTTCTAGCTACAAATGTACTAGACCTATATGTTGCGCGCTCGCAGCTGCCAGGAATGTCTTGCTTGCATTTGCTTGCCAACAGATCGATCGCCCGCGCTCAACTTTTACAGCCTGTCATATTCTATCATATTCTAGTCCCGCACATTGAAGACATCAGCGTAAAGCTTCATGCACTCCTCAAACTTGTCTTCCGCAAAGACATCCGTGGTCTCCCTTTTGGCAAACTGCTCCTTGACTTTTGCCATGTCCACAGACTTCAAGATGCCAACTTTCTGCAAGTCACTGGTCACTTTGGCAATGCACTCTCCTGCCACTTGGACCAAATCACAGCTGTGCGTTTTGTTGGGAGCCTGCCGCGCCAGACTAGCTGAAATCAGGGGCTCGGTGACTTTCGCGGCAAGCCCCCAAGGTTTTGAAATTGTGGGGTGCTTCTTTGACTTTCTCGCACGCGCCATTGGAACAAGCTGTCGTTTTTTGCTTCAGAACCCAGCCCACGGTTTTGGTCATTGCTTCCGTGTGCTCTTGCAGGTCACGCACTGAGAGCGGCTCATCCCGCAATCTCTTTGTAGGCGGTTCCTCTTGGCTTGCTCCCGGGTTCCTGTTGGCTACCTGGGTGAGGGCATGTGTTTCCTCTGCCTTCAACTCTGCAATAGCAGTCTCTGGCTGGGTTGGTGGGATGTCAGCGTGCACTCTGGGATCATACACATGGGAGCGCATCAATGCTGACAGGATGGCCTTGCAGCAGCTTCACCAGCGCTTGGCGCACTGCATCCCGCACACTTGCAAATGAAACCTCTGGAGTCTGGAGAGAAGAGCTGCAAGCGATTGGCTGCCAGCAGAAACCCCTCATCTTCTTGAGGGTACTTCACTTTGGCCCAGCTGCCATGGCCTACAGCAATCAAGCCAATGAGAGCCAAGAGGAGAAGGTCACATTGCCACATCAGCAGTGCTGGGGTCCAAAGCAAAGCGCTTGTGGCAGCCCTGTCCATGCTCAGGAAGGTGTTGGCCGGGTCTACCAATGTCGCAGCAGCCTGCGCAAGTGAAAAAATACCCGCCCGTTTCTCCTGACCAAGTTTCCAAACAACCACACGCGGAGAGCTTTGGTTGACTCTTCGCCCCCCAGCCTTCTGCAACTTCTCCGCGAACGCCGTTGGGCTTGGCTGTGGAAGGTCCATGGCGCAAAGGCGGCCCACGCGAAACTCGGACAGCTTTTGGGGAGCATTGGCGCTTACACGCCCTTGGAACCATCGGGACAGAGAGAAAGCCGCGTCCACAGATTGCTGTGAAGCTTCTGGTGGGACAGAGCTAGGTTTGAAATCTTTCAGCAGCATCTCCGGGTTGATGGAACCCACTTTCCGTACCAAGTCTTCCGCTGACAAGTTCTGGCACTGATCTGCTTCGACGCCGGCTAACGACAAGAGATGCGCCAAGCCCTGCTCGAAGATGTGGATGCCTGGAATGAACTGGAGTGGCCTGGCTTTGTCTTTGCTGAGGAGGCCAGCCTTTTCATCACCGGCCTTTTTGGCCGGCCGGTGCTCATCAACCATATCATTGAAATTCTTTTGGAAGCTTGACACCACACCCTCTGCAAACTCCATGGTGTGGACGCCTCGGATCTCCGAATACCTGCCTGCAGCAGGCCCAACCTCATCATCTCCGCGGCGCTGATAGGGGAACACGGAATCAGCCAAGAGCAGTACATTTGTGGCAGCCGTGACAATTTCGTCGTAGGACAGATCGCTGAAGTAGTGGGGATCCTCCAGTAGCAAATTTTGCATCTCTTGGTCCGACAATTTTTGTGGGGCTAGCTTGCTGCAGACAGACAAGAAATGCCACAAGGAAACAGGGCATGCCTGCAACGCCGTCGGCTTTCTGGCCTATCTCGACTAATTCCTCAAGGTGAAGCAAGACAGCGCCAACCATGTGAGGGTTCCGAACATGGAACCGCGATTGGCCAGTTGCGGGGTTGTTCTTGTAGATGTCGTGGTCCAAAATCTGGTTGAGATCTTCTAGGCCACCCCCTTTCTGCTGCTCAAAAGCTTCTGTGGGCCAAGACGCGCCTTCATGTAAGAAGCAAATCCTTTCTGACTTTCTTGCTCTTCCGTGCCAAGAGGGGCGGCTTGGTCTGCTATATTAGATGATCGTGCCCAGGCAATGTCCTGCAATCAGCGCAATGTTGGTGCTTGGCATGAGCAAACTTGACGCAACCAGAGTAGAACTCCACGCCCAGACTTGGAAAGGACACTGTGCCATCTGTGCCTGTCAGCAGTGTGGGGAATTAGCTTTACACCCAATGCATGCTAATACTGTATACGGGTAGAGAATTGCCAGGCAAATCCTTGAGGATGCTTTCAGGGGGGTATAGACACATATAGTAATAGTTTCGTAAACAATCGTGAGCAATTCCAAAACAGCGCGCAGCAAGGCCAGGCCTTGCTAATCAATCGTCTGGCGCCGGCTTTGCCATCAACAATGATACAAGGGTTCTGGCGACAGCGCGGACAGGTTTTGATGTGAGCTGCAATGCGGTCTAAGTGGCTCTCATGGATGGAAGTGGCATAGGGAGGCATCATAACAGGATGGAGCTGGATCCCAGCCTGCAGGGTGTCCGGATAGTCCCATCTTACAGGCTCTCCAACAATACCAAGCTGACACCAGATTGTTGATGGTGTGTGGAAGCAGCGTTCGATCAGGGCCCAAAAGCAGCTCTTGCTCCCAAACTTCTCTCCGGTATGCCCATACCAAGACTGCGGCTTTCATGGATCCACCGCATAAAAGCGCAAGCAATCGGTGATGTGATTCAGCAGGGCCACCTCTACTGCGTAGAAGCTGCGATATCTAGGCATGATGAAGAAGCCATCTGCTTCGCACTCATGGCACTGCAATTCTGTCATGTGCCCAAAAGCGGCTTGGGCCGCCTGAATGACCAGTGCCCCAGCACGCACCGGTGGCACGCAGGACATTGTCGCTCGATCAAGTCTGCCCACAGCTGCCCGCCCGCAAGAGAATAGGCCTTGTATGTTCGTTGCCAGTGTGGTGCAATTGTTGCAAATGGAAGCTCCAGAGAGCGGCTTTTTGCCTCTTGTCTCGGCGCCGCAACACAAGCACGTTGACCCTGCGCTGGCAATCCGAACAGCAGGAAGTTGCTGACAATGTTTTTGCACACTGGTCAGTGATCCTGGCAGTGGGGCCACAGACCGCTGCCCGCGCGTGATCCCAGGCAAGTACTGCGCACACTTCCAAACGATGTTGTCTGCAGACTGGCCTGGTAGCTCCTGGCCGCGCCAAGCTTTGGCCAAGCACTGCAACACTGGTCCGGCCAAAGGCACGGGCGCAAGTTGCAGAACTAGAACTACAGTCGCCGCGGCGCCGACATCCAACAAGGGTGCCAGCAGCGATCTCCAGGAAACATCCGCCATTGCCAGCTGAGAGTTAGGTGTGCGCAAGGGGTGTCTTGACAGAGCCCGAATGTCGCCTGCGTATATAGCGTTGTGTTCACTTCGTTTCCTTGCCTGATATGTGTGCGTGTGTGGCACGGCTTTGTTTGCAGCAATGCTGGGAACTTCATGGACCCACGTGCGCTTCACACACAACAGAAACTATATGCAATGCAACCCTGCTCCATGCACGTGCAAGAGGTCAAGTCACGTTTTTGGGGTTTGCAAACCTCTCATCTTGCACACGGCTGCATGCAGGGCGTGCCTGCTCCATAGATACACCCACCGAGCGAGCTGCGGAGCTGTGGGCCTGGGCCTGACACACAGTGAGCAAATAAGAAATGCCAGACCTGGAATCTGAGATCGCAGATCTGAGACTCGAGCCCAGGTCCTCCAGGTCCGAGATCCGAGAATCGAGATCCGAAATTCGAGATCCGAGATCCGAGATCCGAGAATATTCGAGATCCGAGATTCGAGATTCGAGAACCGAGATTCGAGATCCGAAATCCGAGATTCGAGATCCGAGATTCGAGATCCGAGATTCGAGATCCGAGATTCAAGATCCGAGATCTGGGATTCGAGATCCGAGATTCGAGATTCGAGATCCGAGATTCGAGATTCGAGATCCGAGATCCGAGATTCGAGA